CATGTGGGATAAACCTGGCTCACCCAGTGAAACCCACACCAACAACTAAGTGTTGGATTATTTTTTTGGTGTGTTTCTGTGTTTGTGATGCAGATGTATTTAGTCGCCCTCACAAAAAAATCCCATAAAAATCACAATTGATAACATGTAATTGTCATGGGATTTTTCGTAAGCGGTGGCGCGCATGTAACAGATTAATTTAGCATAATTGATGTGTTCTGTTGTCTTCAGTGGCGTTTAGAGATCAATAAATGGGATGGAGACATGTGGGATAAACCTGGCTCACCCAGTGAAACCCACACCAACAACTAAGTGTTGGATTATTTTTTTTCTTCTTGGAAGATGCAGATGTATCACGAGTTGCAGATTCTCATAATTTCACAGAACCTGCAACGCATCAGACATTGGCCGTGGAAAAGGTTAGTTAGGGATGTGTGGGAAGTGTACTTTAATGACATTATACTGATGAGGGTTGGAAATTCTTTCCTAAATGTGCGAATGATGTGTGAATTTGCGACAACAGATTTGATAGCATCATGGAAGCTTCAAAGTGGGATTGTGTCTCTGTTCCCTTGTTGTTTAAGTGCAATTCTCTCTCCTTTCTCCTCATCTTTTTCCTCATGGCAGAGATCAATGAATTGGATGGAGACATGTGGGATAAACCTGGCTCACCCAGTGAAACCCACACCAACAACTAAGTGTTGGATTATTTTTTTTGTGTGTTTGTGTGTGTGATGCAGATGTATTTAGTCACCCTCATAAAAAAATCCCATAAAAATTTCAAGTGACAACATGTGATTTTCATTCGATTTTTCGTAAGTGCTGGCGCGCATGTGACAGATTAATTTAGCATAATTGACGTGTTCCGTTGTTTTCAGTGGCGTTTAGAGATCAATTAATGGGATGTAGATGTGGGATAAGCCTGGATCTCCCAGTGAAACCCACACCAACTAAGTGTTGGACTCTTTTTGGTGTGTGTGTAAGATGCAGATGTTTTAGAAATAACGCAATATGTATTTAGTCGGCGTCACAAAAAAATCTTATAAAAATCACAATTGATAACATGTAATTGTCATGGGATTTTTCGTAAGCGGTGGCGCGCATGTAACAGATTAATTTTGCATCCTGGATGTGTTCTGTTGTCTTCAGTGGTGTTTAGAGATCAATAAATGGGATGTAGACATGTGGGATAAACCTGGCTCACCCAGTGAAACCCACACCAACAACTAAGTGTTGGATTATTTTTTTGTGTGTGTTTGTGTGTGTGTGATGCAGATGTATTTAGTCGCCTCACAAAAAAATCCCATAAAAATTACAAGTGACAACGTGATTTTCAGTCAATTTTTCGTAAGTGCTGGCGCGCATGTGACAGATTAATTTAGCATAATCGACGTGTTCTGTTGTTTTCAGTGGTGTTTAGAGATCAATTAATGGGATGAAGACATGTGGGATAAGTCTGGATCTCCCAGTGAAACCCACACCAACAACTAAATGTTGGACTCTTTTTTTTGTGTGTGTGATGCAGATGTATTTAGTCGCCCTCACAAAAAATCCCATAAAAATCACAAGTGATGTGATTTTCATGGGATTTTTCATAAGTGCTGGCGCGCATGTGACAGATTAATTTAGCATAATTGACGTGTTCCGTTGTTTTCAGTGGTGTTTAGAGATCAATTAATGGGATGTAGACATGTGGGATAAGCCTGGATCTCCCAGTGAAACCCACACCAACTAAGTGTTGGACTCTTTTTTTTGTGTGTGTGATGCAGATGTATTTAGTCGCCCTCACAAAAAATCCCATAAAAATCACAAGTGACGTGATTTTCATGGGATTTTTCATAAGTGCTGGCGCGCATGTGACAGATTAATTTAGCATAATTGACGTGTTCAGTTGTTTTCAGTGGTGTTTAGAGATCAATTAATGGGATGTAGATGTGGGATAAGCCTGGATCTCCCAGTGAAACCCACACCAACAACTAAATGTTGGACTCTTTTTTTTTTGTGTGTGTGTGGAAGATGCAGATATTTTAGAAATAACACAATATGTGTATAATAGCCCTCACAAAAAATCCCATGAAAATCCCATAAAAATCAAAAGTGACTTTCGCAAGTGAAGATGGTTTATTCACAGATAACAACATGTGATTTTCAAAGGATTTTTCATAAGTGCTGGCGCGCATGTGACTGATTAATTTAGCATAATTGACGTGTTCCATTGTTTTCAGTGGCGTTTAGAGATCAATTAATGAGATGCAGACATGTGGGATAAGCCTGGATCTCCCAGTGAAACCCACACCAACAACTAAGTGTTGGACTCTTTTTTTTGTGTGTGTGATGCAGATGTATTTAGTCGCCCTCACAAAAAATCCCATAAAAATCACAAGTGACGTGATTTTCATGGGATTTTTCATAAGTGCTGGCGCGCATGTGACAGATTAATTTAGCATAATTGACGTGTTCCGTTGTTTTCAGTGGTGTTTAGAGATCAATTAATGGGATGTAGATGTGGGATAAGCCTGGATCTCCCAGTGAAACCCACACCAACTAAGTGTTGGACTCTTTTTTGTGTGTGTGTGTGTGATGCAGATGTATTTAGTGGCCCTCACAAAATTTTTTTATAAAAATCACAATTGACAACATGTAATTGTCATGGGATTTTTCGTAAGCGGTGGCGCGCATGTAACAGATTAATTTAGCATCATTGATGTGTTCTGTTGTCTTCAGTGGCGTTTAGAGATCAATAAATGGGATGGAGACATGTGGGATAAACCTGGCTCACCCAGTGAAACCCACACCAACAACTAAGTGTTGGATTCTTTTTTTCTTTATGGAAGATGCAGATTCTCACGAGTTGCAGATTCTCATAATTTCACAGAACCTGCAACACATCAGACGTTGGCCGTGGAAAAGGTTTGTTAGGGATGTGTGGAAAGTGTACTTTAATGACATTATACTGATGAGGGTTGAAAATTCTTTCTGAAACGTGCGAATGATGTGTAAATTTGCGGCAACAGCTTTGATAGTTTCTTGGAAGCTTCGTTGTGGGATTGTGTCTCTGTTCCCTTGGTGCTATGGTGCAGTTCTCTCTCCTTTCTCCTCATCTTCCTCCTTATGGAAGGAAAAATGTCTGCCATGAAGTCTCTCACTTTTTCTAGTTTGCTTCTTTCATCAAGATGCTTTTGTCGTTCTTCTTGGTGTTTCTCCTCTGACATTTCTTTTTCCTTCTCCAGCTTTTGGCAGTTTTCCTTGAGGTGTCCAAGTGAGCTATGACGTAATCCAAGAACTTGAGCCTTCTCAGAAAATTCATGTCGACGTTCATCATGTCTCCAAGGTGCGCGATTGGGTAATCGAAACCCTCCACCACTTTCTGCCAGTCCTCATACTTGTCCCACAGCTTATCTCGCCTCTCTGTAATGCTACTCCTCAATGTCTTGACTTGGTCTTTAAAGTTCTGGATGTTTTGGATAACACGAGGAGGCCTTCCTCATTTTTCGCAATTCTTTCAAGTTGCTTGTCGAGAAGCCTGAGTGCTTGAAATGTATTGAACATGGTTGTTTTTGCCTCTTCCTTTGACGATTTCTTGTCTGGGTCTTTACTCTGTGATGACTTCCGTCGCTGTTTGGTTTTATCAATCGAATCGAGACGGGACGTACGACGTCCCGGCTTCCTGATGTCCCCCATGCTTTTGGCTCTCCGCGCTTTGCTCTTTTGCTTCGTCTCTGAGGTTGGACCTACAGACTTTGAATCACGGCGGTCTTTGCTCTTCCTTCTCTGCCGGGATTGGCGTCTCTCATCTAAATTAAAACTGACCACTGGCGATCCGGGCTGCTGTCGTCCTCCAAAATTTGACTCCTAAGTCTTTCTTCTTTTGTTTTGTCTGATCGGAAGTTATGGACCCTCGGCTTTTTGCTCTTCCTCCTCCCACTTCCACTGAAACTGGCCCGAAGTCTTGACGACTTGCTGGTTTCGTCCAAACTTTTGACTTCTCTTATTTTGGTTTTGTCTTTTGACCGTTCTTTCGTATCGAACATATTGAGATCCACGGCTACGCTCTTCGATCTCTGTCGGGAATGCCTTCTTCTCTTTGAATTGCTCTCCTCCTTTTTTCTCCCTTTGTTCTTGGGAGATGTCTCTCCAGACTCATCCACATTTTTGAATTCTACGGATCTGCTGCTTCGTCTCGAATGTAGGGATGGTCTTCTCTCCTTTGGAGTTTCACTTCTCTCAATCGTTTCTGCGCTGCTGGTTTCCGAACAAGTTGAGCTTTCTCTTTGCCCCATGTTTTCTCGTCTTCTTGTGTTGAATTAACAACTTGTTGAATTGGCAACTTGTTGAATCCGCGGTGGCCTCTGGCTCTATGACTTCTGCTTTGTGTGTCTGTTACAAAAAGCACTGCAGATTCTGTCTATGACATCATCTTTTACTGTCATATCAAAGCAAGGGAATGACATCATCAGTCACGGTCGTTAAACCACAGGCACAAAAAAGAACATAACCCAGCCCTTCAAAATAAAATATGTTTAAATGGCCAATGACCACATTATTTATTCTGAGGTGTTTCTTGATATGCATAAACATGTGCTGCAAAAAAAAAAAAAAAACACAACAAACCAAACCGAAACAAAAAACTAAGTGAAACCATCAAAAACTCGCTTATGCCCTACTTAGGTCGGGTATAAATAATTTTGCCATTTTCTTTGTGTGCAGTCAGTACTCTGCAAACGTTTGTACTTGTGTTATAGACACAGGAAAACTGTACTTTTGTATTCATTCAATTGGACTCAAATTCAAAAGTACTTTATTAATCCTAAAGGGAAGTTAAGACGTTGTTGTAACTCATTTGTAACCAGGTGAAAAATGGGTACATGCCAAATGTATTTGAAAGCCGTTTTGTTTCACTGACTGGTTGTGATTCTTGTTTTTGCCAGCATGTGGTGCTGTTGTTACAGAGAGCTCTAAAATGACCGGAAATAGAAAAACCTCATTTATGTGTCGTAGCACTAAAACGGAAGAGAAGGACATTTTGAGCACCGAGACCTATTGGAAGACTACAGGCCACCTGACCAGAAGATCGGGGTCCAAGGTAAAAGAAATGTCGAAGCTACGTTTTGTTAACGGCTCTAAGGAGAGGATGTTAATGTTGTTTTTTTCTGTTTGTCCTCCTTTAGAATTGCCACAGCCGTTTGTTTGTTTGTTGTTGTTAGAGTTTAGCTCTGATGCAAAGCTACAGCCCGCCATTTTCACGGAAGCTAATAATTGAAGCTAAAGTTTACATCAGAGAGAGAGAGAGAAAAATATTCATCTAAAAAAAATAAAGAACCTCTTTAATTTGAAGCTTTGTGTGTTGCATTACTCCCGGCTTCACATTAATTTAGATTCTTCCAAGAGTTATTGAAGGCGGGAAAGATATCTTCTGCAGCTGATCTTTCAGCTTTAAAATGTCCTCGCAATTTATTGTAAGCGTCAGTTGTTTTCTAAAAAACAAAACCCTATCTGAACTCTACTATGTGAGCAATATCGAGAGAAATGCCGTTAGCGTTTCGCCCTCCGTGTCCAGTAGATATTCTGTACAGAAAATATTCTCTGGCACAGGATGCTGTTCCAAAGCTGCAGTTGGGTCAGAGACCTTTACTGATGACTCAGCTGATTCTACTGGTTTCTGCACAAGGCACCGACTCCTCATCTGGCTTTTCCATGTTGCTTTCTTTATTTTCCTGCGTCACATTTTCTACCATAACTGGCTTTTCTGTTTCTGGGCTGATCACCACCAGCTGGTCGACTTCTTTCACAGCAGCTGGTGGATTCTCAGGCTCTTTGGGTTGCACCATTGCTTCTGGTTTTGCTTCTTGTTCTCCTCTTGATTTTGAGTTGCTGGCACATCTAAAACCTCTCTTTTGACTGTATCCATGATTGGTTTAAAATCCAATTTTGCACACAACCAGGTACACCAACAACTAAGTGTTGGATTATTTTTTTCTTCATGGAAGATGCAGATGTTTCACGAGTTGCAGGTTCTCATAATTTCACAGAACCTGCAACGCATCAGACGTTGGCCGTGGAAAAGGTTTGTTAGGGATGTGTGGGAAGTGTACTTTAATGACATTATACTGATAAGTGTTGGAAATTCTGTGCAAAATGTGCGAATGATGTGTGAATTTGCGACAATAGATTTGATAGCATCATGGAAGCTTCATAGATGGCGTCTCGGGAAGGCTTATATTCTCAAGCTCTGCTAAAAACTGTACTTTAAGCAACATGACTATTCATGGAGAATCAAAATGGCTGCCGGGGTGACACACAGCTTGGCAGGCTCTGTGTGGGTGCACAAAAATCCTTTAATCACATCAAAAGGACTCGGCTCTTACCATCAACTTGCATTTTTGTTTTCCTGATATGTTCTTATTTGTTTTTATGTCTATCTGGTCTGCGAAAAAGGGATAATCAAATCCAGCAAAAAGGAGTCAGCACGTTCTCTACACAAAGTTACTGGTCTATGGACATGCTAAACCTCCTTCACATTGTTGTGAAAAACCATCATGTATTCTAAACCCGATAGACCAAAAATGTGCAAGCGCACGAGCAGTAAATCAGCGTTCCAGGTTAAGAGTTTACTGCAGATTCTCTCTAGCTCACACAGAGTAAAAAATATACATATAATCTTAAATATATAATAATCACGTCTCTATGAAATGCCAGTTGCACAGAAACGATCCACTTTCTCCAGCTATCAAGAATCTTCTGTCATATTCTAGGCTGGATGGCCAACAACTAGCCGAGTTTGTTTCAATAGATTGCTTTTTAGGGGGCGTTAAGGAACAGACCACAATTTCTAATATGGAAGAGGTCAGAGGAAATATATCTGCCTAATGCTACGTTTTGGTGTGTCGGGATCATGGTCCTGTTGGAACGTCCAACTGCGTCCAAGTTTTATCCATTTTGTACGACTGGAAGCCGAACAAACCCTCAGTTTGATACTGTCACCATGACGCCTGATTGTTCTAACATTATTCTCATAATTTCTGATAAACAGCTGATAAACAGCTCAGTCTTTAAGAGTTCTCCTGAAGGCAACACCCTGTCAGTTCATTGAGCTTTGAACACCTGGGCTTTTCCTAACCAAATTAGGACGCCGAGGGTCACATGGTCAAAGCTTGGACACAATCGTGTTTGCCCCAACGGCACATTGATCCTGAAAACACAGCAAAACCACTTTTGGTGTGTTTAAAAATTAAAACCCACAGGAAACGTTTGACAACGCTTTCGAGTCCATCAGCAGGAAACGAACCAGTTCGAACAAACTCAGCTGACTCTGCTAGGAGGAATGGTCCAACACCCAACCAAAATTATGCCAGAAGCTAGTTGATGATTTCTAGGTTCAACTCACTAATGGAACAAACTGTATCTCCAAATATTATCAAGGGGTTCAAATACATCCTTAAAATGAATTCCTTTTGATGGCGAGGGTAGGTAAACTTTTCACTGGAAGTGCAACAAACTGAAAGTACATAGAAACACAAATTGATCTCTCGAGGATTCTGATGAGTGAAACCTCTTCTTGAAAATGTTCTTGTTCACAACATCGAAGGAGAAGTCTTCATAAAGGAAAATGTCAAAAGTAGGTTCAAAATGACCATGTTTCTGCCTTACACTCATCATTTCCGATCTGCCAGTCTCTGCAGGAGTGCAATGACCGTGTCCTGCTTGGAGGACAGCAGCTCCAAGGCCGTGGCTATCCTTCCAAGAGACTCTGACATCCGCACCTCCCTCCTCTCCGCCTCTTCTCTCTGACCTCCACCCTGCGCCGAGCCACCCGATCCAGGTAGCCCTGCTCTTCATGCCTCTTCAAGACCTCCTTGAACAATCTGATGCTGCCTTGCTCCTTGCTTCCTTTCTGGTTCTGCCCCTCTGATCCCACACTCGCAGGTGTAACAGTTGTTTCGGTCTGCGATGGACTGGCAGCGGCGCTACTCATGATCTGGCTGGTGGCGGCTCCCAGACCGTCCGTATCCAAAGCCCCGGTCCCAGCAAAGTCCCCATTGGGGCGGATGATGGTGGTGGGCTGTGGAAGCTGCGCTGGTTTTGCTGGGATCTTTGTTGAAGGAATGGCCAGTGAAGAAGCTGTACTGCTACCTTTGTTCCTTTTGTTGCTAATGATCTGCGAGCCAATAGTATCACAGAGCGTGGCGTCCATGAGCTACAGAGAGAAAAGGAAAACCACAAACTATTTTTATTCACGACACCAGGATGAGCAGCTGGTCATCTACCATGTAAAATTAACCTAATTAATATCCCTGAGATCTCTGTAAAGCAGGAAGATACTGCCTTGAGTTTTGTCTCTGGAAATTTTGAATGACTTTTACAGACAATACAAGATAGATATCTTTAAATATATATATATAGACACAAAGGTTTTATCTCCCGGATCGCATCGCTGTGCAGAAGACGTGAGATCTTTTAACATTATGAGCTCATGCAAAGTTTAGAAACCTTTCTGTTGCACAGAGCACAAGAATTCCTGCACATTTCCTGTCACTTTCCCACACTCACAATTGTCAGAGTTGTTCATCCACAAAGGTTGAGTTACTTTATAAAATAAAGTGCTTCTCCAGTGTGAAGAGGTTTTATTCGTATTAAATGATGTTCCTTTATGTGTCATATAAATGTAATGTTTTTTGAATCATAGTCAAGGTGTTTTTCTGTGCAGCTGGAAACGGTGTACAAACTAATGAACCAAGATGTGTCTACTGCAGTAAGTTTCCAGGGTTGCTGAACTTCCCCAGACAGTTATTTGGGAACTCGCTGTTTTTCCCGTGGCCTTCCCTGCATGGAGATAGAGTGTTTAGTTTTCACCTCCCATAGACATTACAGTGAATGAGCACACAAGGTTTTGTATGTTTTCCTTTGTTTCTTTTGTTTGGTCTTCGAAGATCGAGTCTCCGTCTCGGTAGTAGAGAGAGATGAATAAAGTAACTATGCAACTCTGGGTTCCTCAGAGCGGATCCTAATTTGTGCCTAATGCAGTGTATTTCTTGCTCTCCGTCTGCAGATGTTTTAAAGATTGTTTTTGCTCCCTGACTTTTGTCTGGACCTCAGTCTCTGAATTGTGGACTTCACAATTTGCTGCGTTGGCCGGGAACCTTCGCTGGTTCATGCAAGTCGGTGGACCTCAGGAGAGGGCTGATCACCAAACCTTCAAGCTGGTTTTCCTCCAAACCTCTGGCAGGTCTGGCTGAGAAAAAGAGGACTCTTCTGGTGCTCCACCGGGTTGGATCAGCCACGACAGGATAAAAACAGAGCTGAGAGGGGCTGCAAAACATCTTAAGGTTTGTAGGTCTATTAATTTAGACTGAGTTTGTAGGTCTATCAAATTAGACTGAGGATTGAAATAAACGTTTCAAATAAACGTTTTAAATTGTAGGAGGTTTGCAGAATAACAATTAGAGAATGGGGAATTATGTGTTCAGTATTTGTCACAATGGCATAAATTTGGATTTCCTATTCATGGGTTATTTGAACCCGAGTTTTAGATAGTAATTTACTGCTACAGAAACAACAGCTGCTGGGAAAAAAAAAAAAAATCTCACTTTTACAAATAATGCAAGAACACACAGATACACTCAGTCTGGAAATAGGAATAAAAAAATAATTAAAAAAAATTTAAAAAACCCACGCACAACATAGATTTCAGATGGTTCAGAAAGCTGAAGAAAGAAAAAGAAACATGAGAAATCAGCTGAACAAGATGAGAAAAATAATAAAACTAATGACTGTTTTTCTCTCTTCCCAACATGTCAACCTGCTGCGATGAGCTTGCATCCAGCGGCACCAACGGGTTCACCTGACATCGCTAGACTCTATCCAGCTCTTCCTCCTTACCAACCATCAGCCTCACTGAGGAAAGACTTTTTTTTTTTTTTGGGACATTGATGACCATTATCCCTACGGCCCGAAGACAGAGGAGGAAGACACTATGCCTCCCCTGGAGGGGGAAGAAGAAAAGACTGTTTTTACTCCAGTTGCTGAGAAACTCTACAACACCAGCCTACGCCTTCACCAGGTGCTTCGACTGATCTTCAGTGTCCCATGTATGGACCGTGAGGTTGAAGAGACCCAACTACACAATTCTGCCAACTCACCCTGCTTCATCAGGCTGCTCTGAACAGCCACAGCAAGGACAGTATGGACAGTATGGACAGTATGGACAGCCACAAAGCAACACACTGCCTGATGTTTGTTTTATCTGTGGTCAACAAGGACGTTGGGCCAGAGACTGCTTCCAGAGACGATTCAGAAACAACCAGGAGGCCGTAGGTTGCACAGAGGCCGAGGAGGAAGATTTGATGGACTTCCCAGAGACTTCCCAGATGGGTCGAGTTTTTTCTTTAAGAGGTGGATTTACAGGACATCGTGGACGGTATTCCAGCTAACTAGACCCGGTGCCGTTGGAGCAACCTCTGGTTCAGCAAATCACAAGTACCAACACACACAACACATATGTAAAATATACAACTGAAATACACCAAGTCCTCCCCATGCTCACTATTTCTGTCTATTGAATGTTCAGACACGGGGCTCCGTGTCCAAAAAACAAACTCCAACTGACTTAATTTGTTCAAAATACCAAGTCTGCTCTACATTTTTGAATGGTTGATTACAGACCGACAATCTGACGCCATTTCACAAATGGCTCGTGAAAGAGTTCCTCCCACTTCCACTGTGATGTCAGTAAAATGCCTTCATTGCACAGCTCACATGTCCATAGATCCAGCTGATGAGCTGAGTGACTCCTCCCTTCTGACACGCCCGTCTTTGCTGCATGCAACTCACATATGCTGGTCCGCTGAGACCTGCTTTTTGCTGATTGTCACCTGAGCTTCTTCACACTGACTGATTTTTTATTTCCTCATGTCTCTGGCAAAACATTCAGGAGACGGGTGGAAAACTTTTGGCCCTCTAGCAAAAGGAACACATGAAACAACTGATTGTATATGTCTCTCAGAAAGTATTTATTTTTCGCCAGCCACATGATTTGTTATCCCTTTCATCTGACCCTATTTTTTAGCTCCTTGCCTGCCCATTTATGGGTTTCTTACAAATATGATGTGGCCTTAATAATAATAATAATATTAAATAATAATAATAAAAAATGAAAAACAAATTCACATAGTGCCCAAATCAAATTGTCACTATCCCAATCAAAAACAATACCCTTTGAAACCAGAAGCTGTGAAGAAACTCAGAGCTTCTGATCAACCTGTTGAGTGGAGGTTTGTTCAAGATCTTAGAGAAGTTAACAGGTCTGTCATTGCCAGAGCAGCTATTGTTCCAAATCCAAACACTATTTTGTTACAAATTCTAACAGGCAGCAGGTTTTTCACAGTCATTTATTTAGCAAGTGTTTTTTTCAGTGTTCTAATTCACCCAGAAAGCCGGTTCTGGTTCACTTTTCAATTTAACAATAAGCTCTACACATATACAAGACTTTGTCAGGGCTACTATGAGAGTCCAACCATTTTTCACCAAGCATTAAATGACAATCTTTCACATTTGAAACTTCCACCACAAACAGTTTTTTTTGTAGTATGTTGATTTATTATTGGCAGCTTCCAATCATGATGTGTGTTTCTGTAAGCATGAAATTACTCGATTTTTTTTGGCATTATCTGGTTATAAAAAGAAAGAAGAAGAAAAAGTAAAAATAAAAAAAAAACGTAAAGAGAAAAAGAAAAAAAAGTCAGAAAAAGCAAATTGCAGTTTGTGCGGCCATCTGTGACTTTCCTGGGTCATGTGATTTCCCCCAAGGGCAGAGCTTTATGAAGGATTCGAACTAATATGGCGTTACCTCTCCCTTAAAAAAAAACAACTATTGTAGGCATTTCATTCCAAGTTATGCTGAGATTGAGAAACATCTGAGAGAAATATGACAAGGGATTATTGGATTATTAATGAGCTCACACATTTTACATAGGATTGAAGTGAAATGTGAATTGAAGTTGGTTTGACGTCATTCAAAGCGCTGAAAAAAATACCTGCAGACACCTCCAACTCTGGGATTTTTCCCGATCTGTCCTGAATGTTTTATAGATGGTTAGATGAGAAGGGTATTTTTTGTTTTGTTTTGCTCCAAAAACCTGATTACAAATTGAAACTGGTCGCCTATTTTCCAAATTAGATCCTGTAGCAGCCGCATTGCTACGATGTTTGCACGCAGTGGCAAGTGCAGAAGGGGCTGTTATGGCGTCTCGAGACATCGTGGTATTCTAATCTGATTTTGTACGCTTCCCACAGAGTCACACTAATTTTGAGCACCTATCTGCTGTCAGATAGGCTGCGTTATATACGCGTGGGTATACTATATCATATTTTGGTTGCATTTCAAATGAACAGAGGGAAATTCCTATAACATACAGCTGTAATAAATTTGAACTTAGACAGATTAAAATACCTTTCGTTGTCCAGGAACTATCAGTTATAACAAAACAGTTTTTTTTTTATTAATGAAGCGCTTCAGCAGAAACATGATAAATTAGTTGCTGTAATTCTAAATTATGTTGAGATCTCTTCTGTATGTGTACACAAAGCTGAACTTTAAAACAGGATCCTGTCCATTAGTTTAATTTAAACATTAATATGTTGTTAAAAGTAATTTTCTCTATTGAAGCTTCATGTAAATTTGGTCATTTCAATTTAAGAAAATATGTATATAAAATGAGGACTGACTGTAAATATTTGACTGTAAATGCAAATTTGACTGACTGACTTCTGATGGCGTTCAACGTTTGATTGTGTCTGTTTCATGTTGGAGTGAATGTTTGTTGACATATAATGTTTGTCTACATGTTCTGTGTTTAATAAACATTGAACTAACATGCGCATGCAAAGAAGATAAAAACACAATCTTATTTGCAGGATTTCTCAAACACTGGAATGGGACCACCAATGAAACCTGGAATTATTTTAATAACAGATCTATTAAAGATGACAGGCCCAAGGAGGACGACTTGTGCCGGCGAGCAAATCATCACATAACCTGCAGCCTGGAGATTTTGTTTTTATTAGAAATTTCAGGAGGAAGAACCGGCGTTCCCACTGCTGGCTGGGACCGTTTCAAGTGCTTTTGACACACACCGCTCTTAAGGTCGCGGAGGGGTCCACCTGAGTTCACGCCAGCCACTGTAAGAAGTTCACATCCTGCGGGTTCCATCGTCACATCCTGCGGGACCAGTCCAGAGCCTAGAGAACGAGGCTCCACCAAGCACCTTGCCAACACAGCTCACTCAGTAGGTTGGACCACGCCTAGCTGAGGCAGCATTAAGAACATGGACGGGCCGAGGCAGCATCGCAGAACACCGACGTGGATTAAGGATGCCATACTATGCTGGTGCTTCCTCTTGATATCTGTGGTAATGGCTCTAGCCGTCTGGTACCTCCTGCCGGTCCGGAATGCAGCTACAACAGATCACACGCCTGCAGTTCCAATAGGCCCAGCAGTACTCAACAGGAGCAGACGCTCTACCAACCGTGAGATACAATCGTGTGGAGAAAAGCAGGCTTCAAAAGGGGCATTCAGGTGTGTGTGCCCCCTGCTTCTTCAGTTGGCCTCATGATTCTATGGTCAGCCTTGAACACCAATACTGGATCAGATAACAGACAGAAGTACAAAAAATGTAAGTGGTACATGACGAATGAGGTTAGGATCACGTCCTGGTCTGCACTCGTAGCAGATGAGGGAAACATCTGGACGCTGAAATGGGGAACGACTCCCGACGCCAGACACCATATGAAACTTTTCACGATGGCTAAGACAAGGCAAGGACTACACATCACGGTAAACACAGCGAAAGGTTCAATCATACCACCCTCATCTTTGCCCATATTGTCTAACTGTTGGAGGTTTTACCCATGTGCTCATTCATCAGGAAAGGATCCACAATTTATTTTTGTTCTTTGTGAGGGGGGGATGTTACTGTTGTCTCACCATATTCTCCCACAGGTATTACTGTTCTGGACAAACTCATGGCTGATGACTAGTTCAGAGTAATGACAGGTATATCATTTTCTACAAATAATTGGTTATTATTGGCTGAAAGTGCTGCGAATGTATCTAATACTGACTGTGTTTGAAAGTGTTCTTGATGTCATGACTAAAACTAATCCATCTTCCCATTGTAGCCAGTGGGACAGTGTTTACTCTCTCACTAAAACTGATCTTAGAAAACCAGTGTTTTCAAAAACTGTAGCAAAGGCTAATTTCACGTGCATTATTATGACCGGAACTCTTAAATTAGGAAACTCTCAATTCACAAAATTGTTCAAATATAATTCGGGTGCCAGCAGATTTTAAACCAATTTCCAGAAGCGATGTTTGGTGATGGTGTGATTATTACAGATTATTTGATGGGCTACCAAAAAACTCAGCTGGCCTGTGTGCACTCGTAACACTCTTGTTACCAGTTTCTATTTATAGGATGCAGGTTAAAGATGTGACTAATGGTCTGGACCGTTTCCGGTTTCTCTTATCTAACTGGTAACATACAACGAAAAGCCCTCCTTAGAAATTTATGTAAGTTCCGAGAGACACCAGTTATATTAGTTTGGATCTTTATCTAAGTGAATCTACTCTAAATGTTCATGCTGTATCTAATATTTCATACATCTAAAGGTTAACTATCTCTATAATTATGCTAGCTACACTTCTATTCTCAACACCCCCTTGCAAAAAACTGCATACTTTTGCCCGGTTGGATAATAATCCTGTGCAGTCGTCCGTTTCTGATTCTGTCTCAAATGCTTTGCTGACTACAAGTGTGGCCCAGTTCCATGATGTTGAATTTGTTCTGCAGCGACCAAGATTTTCTCATTATCCCAATACAAGTAAATTGACACTTCCTTTTGATTTTTATCTTTAATGTGAAATTTTTGCTTCCAGGTTTTTGCTTTGCTTAATGTCACAAGAGGTCAAAACACTGGCTGAAACACTCCTATGATGTTCATATTTGCAACCATTATTTGATGGCGAAGGTGATCTGATGTTTTGTGTTTCTCAACCTGTTTTGTTGCATTACTCTATTATTATTTCAATTTATACTCATTTTATATTTAATTCATTTTATCATTTTATCAGTTGCTTCATTTTACCATTCAAGACATTTTATCATTTATGGATTTCATTCACTTGATTGTTTTTTGCTCCCTGAGAAGAAAAAAAAAAGTGTGAAATTGTGAAGAGGTTTTATTCGTATTAAATGATGTTCCTTTATGTGTCATATAAATGTAATGTTTTTTGAATCATAGTCAAGGTGTTTTTCTGTGCAGCTGGAAACGGTGTACAAACTAATGAATCAAGATGTGTCTACTGCAGTAAGTTTCCAGGGTTGCTGAACTTCCCCAGACAGTTATTTGGGAACTCGCTGTTTTTCCCGTGGCCTTCCCTGCATGGAGATAGAGTGTTTAGTTTTCACCTCCCATAGACATTACAGTGAATGAGCACACAAGGTTTTGTATGTTTTCCTTTGTTTCTTTTGTTTGGTCTTCGACGATTGAGTCTCCGCCTCGGTAGTAGAGAGAGATGAATAAAGTAACTATGCAACTCTGAGTTCCTCAGAGCGGATCCTAATTTGTGCCTAATGCAGTGTATTTCTTGCTCTCCGTCTGCAGATGTATAAAAGATTGTTTTTGCTCCCTGACTTTTGTCTGGACCTCAGTCTCTGAATTGTGCACTTCACACTATTTAAACAGATTTTATTTTGAAGGGCTGGGTTATGTTCTTTTTTGTGCCTGTGGTTTAACGACCGTGACTGATGATGTCATTCCCTTGCTTTGATATGACAGTAAAAGATGATGTCATAGACAGAATCTGCAGTGCTTTTTGTAACAGACACACAAAGCAGAAGTCATAGAGCCAGAGGCCACCGCGGATTCAACAAGTTGCTAATTCAACAAGTTTCTAATTCAACAAGTTGCTAATTCAACAAGTTGCTAATTCAACACAAGGAGACAAGAAAACATGGGTCAAAGAGAAAGCTCAACTACTACGGAAACCAGCAGCGCAGAAACGATTGAGGAAATTAATGATCCAAAGGAGAGAAGACGATCCCAACATTTGAGACGAAGCAGCAGAGCCGTAGAACTCAAAAATGTGGATGAGTCTGGAGAGACATCTCCCAAGAACAAAGGGAGAAAAAAGAAGGAGAGCAATTCAAAGAGAAGAAGGCATTCCCGACAGAGATCGAAGAGCGTAGCCGTGGATCTCAATATGTTCGATACCAATGAACGGTCAAAAGACAAAACCAAAATGAGAGAAGTCAAAAGTTTGGACGAAACCAGCAGGCTCTCAAGACTTCGGGCCAGTTTCAGTGGAGGTGGGTGGATGAAGAACAAAGGCCGAGGGTCCATAACTTCCGATCAGACAAAACAAAAGAAGAAAGACTTAGGAGTCAAATTTTGGGAGGATGACAGCAGGCCCGGATCGCCTCTGGTCAGTTTTAATTTAGATGAGAGACGCCAATCCCGGCAGAGAAGGAAGAGCAAAGACCGCCGTGATTCAAAGTCTGTAGGTCCAACCTCAGAGACGAAGCAAAAGAGCAAAGCGCGGAGAGCCAAAAGCATGGGGGACATCAGGACGCCGGGACGTCGTACGTCCCGTCTCGATTCGATTGATAAAACCCAGCAGCGACGGAGGTCATCACAGGGTCAAGACCCAGACAAGAAATCGCCAAAGGAGAAGGCAAAAACGACCATGTTCAATACATTCCAAGCACTCAGACTGATCGACGGGCAACTTGAAAGACTTGCGAAAAATGAGGAAGGCCTCCTCGTGTTATCCAAAAACATCCAGAACTTAAAGAACAAAGTCAAGACAATGAGGAGTAGCACTACAGAGAGGCGAGATAAGCTGTGGGACAAGTTTGAGGACTGGCAGAAACTGATGGAGGGTTTTGATTACCCAATCGCGCACCTTGGAGCCATGATGAACGTCGACATGAATTTTCTGAAAAGGCTCAAGTACTTGGATTACGTCACAGCTCACTTGGACACCCTCAAGGAAAACTGCCAAAAACTGGAGAAGGAAAAAGAAATGTCAGAGGAGAAACACCAAGAAGAACGACAGAAGCTTCTCAATGAAAGGACCAAACTGGAAAACGTGCAAAGCGGCATCGAAGACATGTTTCCTTCCATAAGGAGGAAGATGAGGAGAAAAGAGAGAGAATTGCACTTAAGCACCACGGGAACAGAGACACAATCCCACTACGAAGCTTCCAAGAAGCTATCAAAGCTGTTGTCGCAAATTCACACATCATTCGCACATTTAGGAAAGAATTTCCAACCCTCATCAGTATAATGTCATTAAAGTACACTTTCCACACATCCCTAACAAACCTTTTCCACGGCCAACGTCTGATGCGTTGCAGGTTCTGTGAAATTATGAGAATCTGCAACTCGTGATACATCTGCATCTTCCATGAAGAAAAAAATAATCCAACACTTAGTTGTTGGTGTGGGTTTCACTGGGTGAGCCAGGTTTATCCCACATGTCTCCATCCCTTTTATTGATCTCTGCCATGAGGAAGAAGATGAGGAGAAAGGAGAGAGAATTGCACTTAAACAACAAGGGAACAGAGACACAATCCCACTATCTTTAATCTTTATTAAGGACAGTGCACATTAATGAACAATCAACACTACTGTATAGACTGTAAATAAGCCAGATTATAGCATAATTGCTAATTTCCATCTGTAGTCCTAGACAAGGAGACCCAAACAACAAAACAACAGTTTCAGGTGTTTTTTAAAAACATTATAGGTGGAATACTCTCTGATCGGAGCCGGCACACTGTTCCAGAAGTGACTCCCTCTGACTGACAGAACCGTTTGCCCAAATGTTGTTTTCCTGTAAGGGATTCCAGGTCTCCTCTGGAAGACGCCCTGGTGCCAAGACCTCGCTCGGCTCTTTGCTTAAAATATATAGCAAGCAGAGGTGGAGCGAGTCCATGAAGAACTTTTTAAATAAGGCAACTGTTTTTAAAATGAATAAAGTTTTCAAAGGTAAGCCTATAATATTTTTCCAAAATATGACACTGATGATAAGACAGAGGCTTTTGATCAAGAATTTTAATCGATTTTTTGAATATCATTTCTATAGGTTTTAATAATGTATCTCCAGTGAGTGACCAAGTTGTGATGCAGTGATCTGTGTGTGAAAATACCACTGAGTGCAGGAACATTTTTGCGGAGTTAATTGTCATTGATGGTCTGATTTGTTTAAAGTTACTCAGATTAAATTTGATTTTATCTGCTGTGAGTTTAATGTGTTTTTTAAAGGACAGTGTTGGATCCAGTGTGACCCCGAGGTACTTGAACTCCTGCACAAGGTCAAGCTCTGTTCCCCCCAGGAACACATGGGACCGCTCCAGTTTTATGGGGTTTTTTGTGAACATCATTGAAACAGTTTTCTTTTTGTTCAATAATAAAGACGACTGTAAAAACCAATGCTTTATGTCAAAGTTGATGAAGCTTCCTGGGTGCTTTTAGCAGATGTAAAGATAACCGCATCATCAGCATACATTTGGAAATGGACATGTGAACGAACACACATTTGGCAAGTCATTTATATACATGGAAAACAATATTGGTCCTAAAATAGAGCCCTGGGCGCCCCTGCTGGACATTGAAGATATGACGAGATTGTGCCCCCTACGCTCACAGATTGTCTCCTGTTAGACCAGTGCTTCTCAATTATTTTCCGTTACGCCCCCCCTAGCAAGAAGAAAACTATTCGCGCCCCCCACTCCCCACCGTGACTATCCATCTCTGCATAACATTTTTTCATTAACATTAAAGAAAAAAAGAAAGACATATGGTCAAACTTACAAAGAATAACTTTATTAAATCGTGTTTTAAGTCTGCAACAGAAAAGATTTTAAGTGCATCAATGCCTGAAATTAAAAATAAATAAATCCATGTCTACTGCTGCAGGCAGTATCAGCTCCTCTGCTATGGTGTGGGGCTTTTTGCACTGCGCAATTTGGTACGCCACCTTATATGATGCTAGCAGCGCTCGATGGTTTACTGAAGTAGCCTTCACAAAGCGGGATGACTGTTGGCAATATTCAGCACGTTTTCGCTGAAAAAACTCTAGCGGCTTATCGGCGTGATTGGGATGTAACGTATTTAAGTGACGCGCTAATTTATTTGGCTTCATGCTGTCCGCTGCGAGCATTTTTAGACACAGCAAACACACCGGTCTTTCCTCTTCTCCAACTGTAGTCACAGTGAAGCCAAGCGCTAAATACGCTTCGTCGTATTTCCTCTTCTTAGCTTTCGGTTGACTTTCTGTTGTCTCATTATCTTTGTCTCTCTCCGCTTTTCTTTTCATCCCTGTGAAAAACTTTTTCATGTTGGGGGTTGTTGAATAACGGAGGCCATAGACAGAACGCAGTCGGAGCTTTTTGTTGACTTAACACTGCTAACCAAGGCAAACCTGTTGTCTTGTAAGTCATAAAATGTTGCACTGTCGCAAACGTGACAGAAGTAACAATGAGAGCGCCACTGCCGCCTACTGTGCGCAATTACACTTTATACTAGTACGGCCAAAAAAAAGCCTGTTCCCCAGGATCACACGCCCCCCCAGGTATCACACCGCGCCCCCCAAAGGGGGCCCGCCCCACTATTTGAGAAGCACTGTGTTAGACAAATAAGACTGAAACCAGACGAGTGCATCTTCTGCAAAATTAAAGTAAGTTAATTTTGAGAGAAGGGCCTGATGGTTAACTGTATGGAGAGCTTTCTTTAAGTCCAAGAAGGCTGCATCAACGCAGGTGGTTTTATCAAGCAGAGATTTCACTGTTTCTACAAAAACACAATTTGCCGTCTCTGTAGAATGGTACTGAGGGAACCCAAACTGCATGGGGTGCAGAATAAAATGGTAGCTGAGATGTTTATTCAGCAGCTTCAAAATTCATTTTTCTGCTACCTGATCGGACGCTAGTTAGAGATATTTGTTTTGTCTCCTGATTTAAAAATTGGTGAGACTGTAGCCACCTTCCAACCTGATGGAACTGTTGCCATTCTGATGGATGCATTTATCAGATATGTTATTGGGCACACTAGTGTGTCTATATATGTCTTTAAAAATTGTGTATCAAGCCCATATGCATCTTTGGCTTTCGTGGCCGTCATTGATTTAATTATTCTGGCAACTTCAAACTCTGTGATTTGCTCTAATCAATCAATCAAATATTTTTTGTACAGCACATTTCAGCTACAAGGCATTTCAAAGTGCTTTACATCATAAACACAAAAACACAAAGTCATGCAACATAGAATAAAATACCAAGTGTGTGTTTTGGTTTTTTCCCTTTTCTTTTTGTCACGGAATTTAAGCGGCTGTTACCGCCGGACTCCGCCGTCCGTTTAACCACAGGTATTCATCGGGCCCCGTTGCCCACAACAGGAAAAAAATTACATACCGTTCAGTGATTTGAAAACTAACAACAGTATTTTAAAATCTATCCTTTGAGCTACACGGAGCCAGTGGAGGGATTTTAAAACTGGTGTCTCTATCTTCCTGGTTCTAGTGAGAACGCGAGCAGCAGCATTCTGGATCAGCTGCAGCTGTTTGATTGATTTGTTGGACAGGCCTGTGAAGACGCTGTTACAATAATCAATGCGACTAAAGATAACACATGGATGAGTTTCTCTAGATCTGGCTGAGACATTAGTCCTCTAATCCTGGAGATATTCTTCAGGTGATAGAAGGCCGACTTTGTTACTGTCTTTATGTGGCTCACAAGGTTCAGGTCAGAGTCCATCACTACTCCCAGGTTTCGCCCTGATCGCTAGTTTTTAGTTGTAATAACTGAAGCTGTGCATTGACTCTAGATCGTTCCTCTTTAGGTCCAAAGATAATGACTTCAGTTTTGTTTCTGTTCACAGCTGGAGAAAGTTTTGGCACAGCCACACATTTATCTGTTCTAAACATTTATTCAGTGATTAGATGGGGTCAAAGGTCACCTGGTGACATCATAATGTAGAGCTGTGTCTCATCCGCATAGTTGTGGCAGCTAATATTATTTCCTGTTATAACCTGAGCTAGTGGGAGAATATAAATATTGAATAAGAGGGGTCCTAGGATTGAACCTTGGGGTACACCACATGTGACCTTTGACCTCTTTGATGAGAAGTTTCCAATCGAAACAAAGAAATCCCTGTTTTTTAAGTAAGATTCAAACCAGTCGAGCACCGAACCAGAGAGTCCAACCCAACTTTCAAGTCGATTCAGTAACATGTCATGGTCGACAGTGTCAAAAGCTGCACTGAGGTCCAACAGAACCAGCACTGTGGTTCTCCCAAAGTCCGTATTTATATGGATATCATTGAATACTTTTACGAGGGCAGCCTCCGTGCTGTGGTGAGCACAAAAACCAGATTGGAAGGAGTCAAAGCAGTTGGTCATCATGAGGAAACTATTTAATTGTTCACACACAGTTTTTTCAATAACTTTACTGATGAATGGGAGGTTGGAAATCGGCCTGTAATTCTGCAGTAGTGATTTGTCCAGGTTGTTCTTTTTTAGCAGTGGTTTGATGACTGCTGTTTTCAAAGCCTGGGGAAAAACACCTGATGTAAGCGATGAGTTTACTATTTGGATCAGATCAGCAGCAATAACAGGCAGGACTTTCTTAAAGAAATGTGTGGGAAGGACATCCAGACAGCAGGAGCTTGAACTTAATTGACTTATAATTTCTTCTATGGTTTTATAATTAAGTAGTTGAAAGTGGGTAATTTTTCCTGTATTAGTTTTGTTTGGGTTCAGCAGTGGTTCTGGCTTTAGAGTTGATGTGCAGATTAATCCTCTGATTTTTTGGATTTTCTCTGAAAAGAAGTCAGAAAACTTATTACAGGCAGCATTAGATTGGAGTTCAGGTGGTAACGTCACAGGAGGGTTTGTGAGCCTGTCAACTGTTGCAAATAAAGCTCGAGCATTATTGATGTTTTTGTTTGACATCTGCAAAGAAAGCCTCCCTTGCATGTTTTAGTGTTAAGTGATAGTTACGTAGTCTTTCTTTATAGATGTCAAAATGAATGTGAAGTTGAGTTTTACGCCAGATCAAACTGTTTGTGCATTTCTCCATGGAGATTTCTTCCTACCAGTCACAACCTTTACTTTAATTGGGGCAATTAAATCAATAATATATGAAACTTTAGACTGAAAGTCATCTACCAACTTATCTACATCATTACAGCTTAAGGGTGAGGAGGAAGAATAGATTTGATTAAATGTTTCTGCTGTGTTTTCTGTGAAAGAACGTTTTGGGACAGTAGCTGTTTGTCCAAGCGGGTCAAAGAATAAAGAACCTTCAAAGATAACAGCAAAGTGATCCGACAGGGCGACATCAGTTACAGAGATATTGGAAATAGTCACACACTTACTGATAACCAGGTCCAGTGTGTGTCCTTGAGTGTGTGTTGCTTGTTTGACATGTTGTGTCAAACAACATGTCAAAATTTTCTAAAATATCAGAGAGCTTTTTTGCTCCTCTGTCTTTGGGTTTGTCCACATGAATGTTGAAATCACCAACAATTATCAAACAATCATAATCAATGCATATGAGAGATAAAAGATCATTCAAGTCAGTAAAGAAATTTTCCACGTATGTTGGAGTTTTGTATAAAGTTAGTGTCAAAGTTCGTTTGAAGCCTTTAACCTGAATTCCAAGATACTCAAAATGACCGAAAGAGATTTTACTACAGTTTACGGCATTTTTAAATATAGAAGCCACGCCTCCTCCTTTTTTATGTTTTCTCTTCTCACTTAAAAAATTGTAGATAGGAGGCGCTGATTCAATTAGTACAATTTCGTCATTATCGTCATTCAAAGTTAAACCTAGGTTGTCTGAGATCAGTAGACTGACAAGGTATATCTGACTGAGTGAACATCTGTGTTATTTCATTAACCGAATTAATAAAAAAGTTATTGAATTCAGTTGCTATTTCTTTTGGATTAGTCACTAACCTATTATTCCCTTTTATTTCCAGACTGTTATTGACCGTTTTATGTTCCTTACATGTCAGTTTGTTTATATTTTGCCATATGATTTTGCCATTTCCATTTGCACTTCCATTTCCATTTCCTTTTGGAACAAGGGTTCCAAAAGGAAATTTGCTTTGGCTTTACGCAATGCATTAGTTGTTTTATTCCTCATGGAGGTAAATCTTTGCCTGTCAATAGTCAATCCAGATTTTAAAGAGGTTTTAAGCAAAATGTCTCTTTGTTTCATAAGTTTTTTACAGTTATTATTTAGCCAACGCAGATGGTATTTCCTTTTATTTCCTTGACATGAAGCCTAGGCGCAAATTCAAACTGGAAGACTCTTTAGCCCCACCTGCAGCATTCAGTCGGCGC